AATCCTTCAATTATGGGGGCAAATACCCAAAAAGGAAAGGACATTTGCAAAGTTCTAAAGAGAATAGACAATTCGTGAATGCACCAAATTTCCTTTGCTTTGCTTTCCTTTCCTTACTAGCAAATAACTGTAAATAAATAACACAATCACCTTCCAGCTCTATTCTGATTGCCTTCAGATGTTGTGGCTGCTCCATCACTATGGAGCATTTTAAGAAGAGACTGGACACCCATTTTTTTCCAGAATGGTGTAATGTTTCCTGCTTTTCTCTTTCTCTCTCTTTCTCTTTCTCTCTTCCTGTCTCTCTCTTTCTCTTTCTCTCTTCCTGTCTCTCTCTCTCTCCCTCTCTTTCTCTCTCTCTCTGTCTATCTATCTTCTGGAGGTGGGGGAGGTGAAAAACAGGCCGTTTTCGCCAGTGGTGGATTTCAAATTTTTTTTTACTACTGGTTCTGTGGGTGTGGCTTGGTGGGCATGGCTTGGTGGAAGGTTACTGCCAAATCCCCATTTCCTCCTGATCAGCTGGGACTCTGGCAGAGAATAGATGGGGGCGGGGCCAGTCAGAAGTGGCATTTACCGGTACTCCGAATTACTCAAAATTTCCGCTAACAGTTCTCCAGAACTGGTCAGAACCTGCTGAAACCCATCTCTGTTTTTTGCCCATTTTTTGGCTTCCTGGGGCATCCTTGCCCCCATGTTTCACCTCCCCCATCTCCAGAGAGTCTCTGCAGGCCAAAATTGTTTTCAATTTTCAGTTCCAGCCCGTGGGGCTAGCAAAGGTAAATCCTGTGCTTGGCCGAAGGGTGGGCGGGGCGATGTGGGCGGGACAGCCTCGTGGTCCTGCGCGGGCTGGATTAATGGCTTCGGCAGGCCGCATGGGGCCCACGGGCCGTAGTTTGAGGACCTATGAACTAAACCATCTCAGTTGTGGTTTCAGGCTTCTTGCAATATGCCCCACCAGCCAGTGATGGCTTATTTGGACATATCATAGTTAAAACAAACCACAGCACAATGAAATAAAAGAATATCATGCAGGGGGATAAGATATCTGGGGCCAGTTGGGACTACCCTTACATTGGGTGCCTATAGAGCCGAGGTGGCGCAGTGGTTAGAGCCAGTGGTGGGTTCCTCCCTGTTCGGTCCGGTTCGGCCGAGCCGGTAGCGGTGACGATATGACGTCACCGAACCAGTTCTTCCCCCCGCTCTCCCCCCCACCCCCCACGTTATTCTTACCTTTTATTTGGTCCCACCCCCAATCTATTGCTGCCGCCTGAGTCCCAGCTGATGACTAGAGGGAAAAAAACTGTTTAAACTCTTGCTGCAGGGCTTCAAAGGGCCGCCCTACAGCTGATCAGTGTTAAAAGCAAACAAATGAGTCGGGTCGTAAGTGCGAGGACTGGTCGTAAGTGCGAGGACCTTCCAGAAGTGACTCTGACCAGCTAGCCACGCCCACCTAGTCACATGACCTCCAAGCCACACCCACAAAATAAGCCACACCCACAGAACCGGTAGTAAAAAAAATTAGAACCCACCCCTGGTTAGAGCGCAGTACTGCAGGCTACTTCTGCTGCCTGCCAGCTGCCTGCAATTTGACAGTTCGAATCTCACCAGGCTCAAGGTTGACTCAGCCTTCCACCCTTCCAAGGTGGGTAAAACGAGGACCCAGTTTGTTGGGGGGCAAGAGGCTGACTCTGTAAACCGCTTAGAGAGGGCTGGAAAGCACTGTGAAGCGGTATATAAGTCTAAGTGCTATTGCTAATGGAGGCCATGCAGAGTCTTCATTAAGACCCCAGTCTCAACCCACAAAGGATTGTGTTTGCCCTTCTAACCACATCCCAAAGCTCCTGAGCAAGACCCCCGTCACCATTGCAACATCTGACACTAAGAAGTCAACCTCAGTGCTTTTATATGTTCTGATCTCTGGTCTATGACTGTAATAAACTAAAGTTGAAATGGAAGTCAACATTTTAGGCTTTTTCAAGGCTTTGCTGAGAAAGGTGAACATCAAGACTTCTACCCGAGCTTGTCTGCAGAGGAAAAAGGCGTTGTTAGCTCAGATAGAGCGTGCCCAACAAGCTGAGGAGTTAGCACGTGCCCCAGAAACTCTTTCCGTGCATTCCAGAACATCCTGTGCTTAAGCTTCTGTGGTTAAAAGATGGTTACTAGTCTCCGCCCTCCCCCAAACTCTGGTTACAGAAGGAAAGGCTGTCACTTTGTACTCCTGAACTTGATAGCGAGCTGTCTGAGAGAAGACCTGTGTTCTACTGTCATCTTCTGTTTTGCGAGCTTTTGTCTGAGACGATGCTCCAGGCTCGTGTGTCAGCTTTTGGCGTTGTCTGATCACATCTCGATCCAGAGATGGGCATGGGGGAACGGATTTAACTGCCTAGTTTTCTTCAAGAGAGGCCAATGAAAAGTTAGGTCTCCTGAGCACGTAGCTGTCTACCTGCAGTTGCGAAATTTGAACTCTCTTAATTGTTGAACAAGAAGTACAAGACACATATTTTTGTTTCTAAGCTTCTTGCCAGTAGTCACAAAGATGCCATCATTTGACTAGCCTGGCCTTGAATTGTTTTTTTTTTTCCCTCCCAATTTTTATGGGGGACTAGGGCATAAATTAAATTTAGATGAGCATTTTGGGATTTGCTCTTGGCACGGATTTCCAGCTGCTTCAGTGGAGTCCTCTCAGCCTGCAAAAAAATAACAAATTTCAGGAGAAAATTGCTTCATCGTTCTTTTTAAAGCAGAGGGTTTTTTTTTTCCAAAGTTGAAGTCCACGTGTCTTCAATTTGCATTTTTTCACTTGCTGTTCCTGGTGGATTTTCTCGGCTGGCACAAGGAGGATGGCTCTTCTGCTTTTGTGAGGCGTGCATTGATGTTTCCCTGTGGAGAGCCTGCAAAGAGAAAGTAACTGCGATCTGGTTATTAGAATGTTAGACTTCAGATTAACTTGCCAGTTGGCTGTGAAGATTGCTGGTGGATGTTGAATCCGTTGCGTGCTCTCTCCGTTTATCCTGATCACTCTTAGAGATTTGTTGTGAAAAGGTGAGAGAAGAATTATTATTATTATCTCTTTTATTCCTTAAACATGAAACTCAGTCAACTGGACATTTAAAAATGTGTCACAAATATTATTAACTGGCACTGATGGTTGATATATAGATATATAGATATATAGATATATAGATATATAGATATATATAGATATATATAGATATATATTATTATTATTATTATTATTATTAACAGTATACACAGCAAACGAGATGAACATGCTGGATTTCGTATCCCAAATCACTAGTCAAACACTTCCCAAGTGTTTAGGACTGTGTGATGTATCGATGGATGATGATGATGATTATCTTTATTCATTAAATATGAAACTGTCAACTGAACATTCAAAAATGCATCACAAATACCACTGACTGGTGCTAATGGTTGATATGGGTTGCTGCCAGCGTCCTAGGTATCAACCAAGTACCTTCTTAAGAAGTAGGATATTCCAAGTAGCGCAGTTTTTTGCAGTTCCACTGGTGTTATTGCAGAAAGCTGCAATTTGCTGATGTATGTTATAAAATTCTTGGACATGGTACCAAGTGCTCCTATTACAATGGGTATCACTGTTCGATGTTTCATCCATAGCCGTGTATTATTATCTTTATTCATTAAATATGAAACTCAGTCAACTGAACATTATGATGATGGTGGTTTGTCACACCGTCAGCCAGATGTTCAGACTGCACATCGTTAGAGGTATCGTGGGTAGGAGGTAAGCTGTTTTGAGTATTATTATAGTTTCTTGCACAGCCAGCCAGATGTTCAGACAAGAGGGGGCATTTTTATCCACCTATCAAGTCCTTTCTGAGGACCAGAGATAAGTAGATGGTGGTGTTAGGTGAATGTTAAAGATGTCATTGCAAGATGTTAGCTCTTCCAAATAATGCTGCCTTTTGTAGTTGGCTAGTGGTGATTTTGTGCTGTTCAACTGATTGTGGCTGTTAGGTTTAGATCTATCGGTCGTCCAAGTTCAGTGGACTCTGGGCAGTAGTTGTAATGCCCATCCATGTAACTCTTTGGAAGAATAAGATAGTCACTTTTGGGGTGAGAGAACCTGGCAAATGGGGGTGTGGCGCATTTTTACCTGGATTCTTTAACTGAGATATTGAAAATTGAGGACCCAGTTTGTGGGGGCAATAAGTTGACTTTGTATAAATATACAAAAGTATGAAGGCTATTTCTTAACGCATTGTAAGCCGCCCTGAGTTTCTGGAGAAGGGCGACATATAAATCAAATAATAATAATAAAAAGAATCACTGGTGGTTGTCCTCGGTTCACACTGGTTTTATAGAACCGGTAATAAAACCGGTGGGAGGCTCCACCCACTGACCCTGACGTCATCAAAACGCTTCTGTGCATGCGCGGCCCCGTTGCGAACTGGTAGTAAAGGTAAGTAGAACCCACCCCTGAAAGGAATGCTACCTGATACAATGCCAGCATTTACTGAATCAGTAGACAGGCCATGTGGTCAGAACACCTTGCTCTTATTTTGGTAGCAGAGACATCAGTAATCTTAAAGTTGTTGTTAGTTGCAAAGTCGTGTCCGACCCATCGCAACCCCATGGACCACGTTCCTCCAGGCCTTCCTGTCCTCTACCATCCTCTGGAGTCCATTGAAGCTCACGCCGACTGCTTCAGTGACTCCATGCAGCCACCTCGTTCTCTGCCATCCCCTTCTTCTTTTGCCCTCAATCGTTCCCAGCATGAGGCTCTTCTCCAGGGAGTCCTTCCTTCTCATTAGGTGGCCAAAGGATTTGAGTTTCATCTTCAGGATCTGGCCTTCTAAAGATCTGTCAGGGTTGATCTCCTCTAGGACTGACCGGTTGGATCTCCTTGCAGTCCAAGGGACTCGCAGGAGTCTTCTCCAGCACCAGAGTTCCAAGGCCTCCATTCTTTGGCACTCAGCCTTCCTTATGGTCCAACTTTCACAGCCATCCATTGCAACTGGGAAAACCGTAGCCTTGACTAGACGCACTTTTGTTGGCAGGGTGATGTCTCTGCTTTTTAGTAAACTGTCGAGATTTGCCATAGCTTTCCTCCCCAGGAGCAAGCGTCTTTTAATTTCTTGGCTGCAGTCCCCATCTGTGGTGATCTTGGAGTCCAGGAAAATAGAATCTGTCACTACCTCCATTTCTTCTCCATCAATTTGCCAGGAATTGAGAGGGCCATGATCTTAGTTTTCTTAATGTTGAGTCTTAAAGTAGAAATGGATAAGTTGGACCTTTCTCTGAGGTGTTCTGCTAATCTTAATGCATCATTCTTGGGGGTTATATTTTAGTCTAGTTAAAGGCACACAGATGCAGTCCGTCCTTCCTTCCTTCCTTCCTTCCTTCCTTCCTTCCTTCCTTCCTTCCTTCCTTCCTTCCTTCCTTCCTCACTCTCTTTCTTTTTTTCTTTCTCACACTCTTTCTCCTTCCTTTCTCCTTCCCTCCCTTGCTTTCTTGCTTTCTTGCTTTCTCATTCTCTTTCTTTCTTTCTCACTTTCCTCATTCCCCTTTTAAATTCTTTTAAACTCCCCTCTTTTAAATTCTTAAATTTTAAATTTTTTAATTCGTGATTTTATAAATTGGGTGTTTTAATCTGTGTTTCGGCCGAAATATTTAATAATTTTAAGGGATTTTTAATATTTGTATTGTCTGTATTTTATCTTGGCTGTTCACCGCCCTGAGTCCTTTGGGAGTAGGGCGGTATAGAAATTTGATTAATAAATAAATAAATAAATAAATAAATAAATAAATTCATTCATTCGTTCATTCATTCATTCATTCATTCATTCATTCATTCATCCATCCATCCATTCATTCATTTCCTGTGCCACTTCTTTACCAGAAACTCCAAATGATGTACACAGTGTCGATGTTATACGCAGTATATCTCAACCTCAGCAATGTTATGATGTTTATACTCCCAACTCCCAGAATTTTCCCAGTCAGCATGCTGGCTAGGGAATTCTGGGAGCTGAAAGTTGCCAAGGTTTAGAAACAGTGTTTATGAGGATTAAAAACAATACCTTTAATGGCAGTTCAATGGAGTTTTGTGCTACAGACGACTTTGCTATTGTGGGAACATTTGTGCATGGCCCTTCAAGCAAGAATACGGATGTACACGGTAATGGTATGTACTATGTCTAGATTTCCAGCCTGGATGTGTGGCCAATGCTTTGGTTCAGGGGTGAAATCCAGCAGGTTCTGACAGATTCTGGAGAACCGGTAGCGGAAATTTTGAGTAGTTTGGAGAACCGGCAAATACCACCTCTGGCTGGCCCCAGGAGTGGGGAGGGAATGGGGATTTTGCAATATCCTTCCCCCAGGAGTGGGGAGGGAATGGGGATTTTGCAGTATCCTTCCCCCAGGAGTGGGGAGGGAATGGAGATTTTGCAATATCCTTCCCCCAGGAGTGGGGAGGGAATGGAGATTTTGCAGTATCCTTCCCCTGCCACGCCCACCAAGCAACACCACGCCCACCAAGCCACACCCACAGAACCGGTAGTAAAAAAATGTGAATTTCACCACTGTTTTGGTTCCAGCTGACATTCAGAGTCTCTTACTTCCTCCGCCTGGCCCCGTCTTGTATGTTTTCAGTACCATATTGAAACCGAGAAGGAATCTTTTAGTACCTACCATGTCTGTCACATAGAAGCTACTTCCTTCCTTTCCCATAACATATTACCAGATTAAACTAACTTTAGAAAAGCAAAAGAGGAACTTCTTATTTATAGTTTGCAAATGTTGCCTTTTTTTTTCTTTTTTACAAATGGTGCAGTTTTAATTTCCTTTTAATTGTATGCCACCCAAAGCTCTTTGGTGGGAGAGGGCGGCCACGTAAACATGATTAATAAAGAAATAAATGAAATAAGTGTGCATCTTTAATCTCGCGGTTGCAAAGCTCTCTATGTGGGTGCTTCCCTTGGGGAAAACTCAGATGCAGCTGTTACTTGAAAGCACCATTTCTCTCCCAGTCTAAGGGCTTAATAAATATTTATATTATTTTATGATGACAGAACTAGAGATAATAAAGCTAATGTAACAATGCCAGGGCCTGCTGGTTAAAGGGCATAGGGAGTTGCCTGCTACAGAATCAAACCACTGCTACATCTGAGTCAGTATTGTTTATTTTTTGTTGTTAGTTGCGAAGTCATGTCCAATCTATCGCAACCCCATGGACAACGTTCCTCCAGGCCTTCCCGTCCTTTACCATCCTCTGGAGTCCATTTAAGCTCATGCCAACTGCTTCAGTGACTCCATCCAGCCACTTCGTTCTCTGCCGTCCCCTTCTTCTTTTGCCCTCAATTGTTCCCAGCATTAGGCTCTTCTCCAGTGAGTCCTTCCTTCACATTAGGTGGCCAGAGTATTTTATTTTATTTTATTTTATTTTGCTTTAATTTATATGCCGCCCTTCTCCGGAGACTCAGGGCGGCTTACAATGCGTTAAGCAATAGCCTTCATACTTTTGTATATTTTTACAAAGTCAGCTTATTGCCCCCCACAATCTGGGTCCTCATTTCACCTACCTTTGAAAGGATGGAAGGCTGAGTCAACCTTGAGCCTGGTGAGATTTGAACTTGCAGTAATGGCAAGCAGCAGATGTTAATAACAGTGCTTTAGTCCACTGTACTACAGGCTCTTCTTTGAGTATTTGAGTTTCCTCTTCAGGATCTGGCCTTCTAAAGAGCAGTCAGGGTTGATCTCCTCTAGGACCGACCGGTTGGATCGCCTTGTAGTCCAAGGGAATCGCAGGAGTCTTCTCCAGCACCAGAGTTCAAAGGCCTCAATTCTTTGGCGCTCAGCCTTCCTTATGGTCCAACTTTCACAGCCATCCATTGCAACTAGGAAAACCATAGCCTTGACTATATGCACTTTTGTTGGCAGGGTGATGTCTCTGCTTTTTAGTATGCTGTCTAGATTTGCCATAGCTTTCCTCCCCAGGAGCAAGCGTCTTTTAATTTCTTGGCTGCAGTCCCCACCTGCGGTGATCTTGGAACCCAGGA